AGATAGCAGGGCGAGGACTGGTCCTAGAGAGGGTGTTGGGGAGAGCAAGCTCCGTCCCAGCCACTTATGGCCAAGGACTCCCTTAGTCTGGACAAAGCCTGTCAGTAGCCTTTGCAGCTCACCTCCGAACTACCCCTCTCAGATCTCCCTACTTCTCACCCGGCAAACCCCTTTCTGCTTTTATCCCTCTTTTGGTTCTGGCTCTCTTTTTCACTCTTCTAACATGATTCCCTTTTTCTCTTAAAAACTCCTGATTGTCTTTTTCTGTCTGGCTACTCTGTCACTAGACTGCAAGATCCTCCAGGGCAGAGGCCATGTCTGCTTTTGTGCATCTTAGCATCTGTGGGTCTACCCCACTGCCTACTGGACAGCTCTGAGCAGATGTTCCACAGACCCCTTGAATAAAAGAGGTCGAAGGCACGATTCCTTACAACAGGAAGACTTCCCTCCCATATACCCCCAAACTACATTTTCTTCTGTTCCTGATCTCAGTTAACAGCATCAACATCCTCCCAGTTGCCAGGTCAGAAACCGCGGCATCGTCCTTGAATCCTGTCTTATCCTCCTATGTCCTATCATTTACAGTACTTTGGTTCTACTACATAAATAATCCATATATTGGCCCCCTCATTCCTATCCTGAAAGCTACTGTCCAACCCAGAAACTTACCATTGGTTTGGTCTCCCTGTCCCTACTTTTGCCTAACCCCCTTCCCTGTTTCCCGATCCATCCTCAACAGAATAATATTCTGGAACATAAATCTGACTATGGAACTCCCCTGTGGAAGCCCCTTCAATGGCACTGCATTGGGCTCTGGATAAAGTTTAAGCTCCTTAAGTTGACCTACAAGGTCTTTCATGATCTGGTCCCTACCTGCTGCTCCAGACTTCTTTCTCACTCTCTGACTGGCACTCTGCTCTCCAGCCAGACTATACACAGTTTCCTCAAAACCACATGCTTCGACACCTCTTTGCCCCTTTTCTATGCTCTTCCTTCTGCCTTCCAGGCTCTTTGTCCCCTTGTCTGCCTGATGAACAACTACTCAGCCTTCAAAACCTGTTCCAAATGCTACTTCCTCCAGGAAGGTCCTCATGAGAATGGACCCCCACTCCCAGCAAAAAATTACTCCCTCTGCTCAGTGTCACAAGCTTCTATATTTTCTAATAGCACTTACATTGAATTGTGATGCTTTGTGCATGTGACTGACTCCCCCCACTCAGCTGTGAATTTCTCAAGAGCAGGGAACATGTCTGATTTATCTGAATCCCTGAGTACCTAGCACAGGGCCTATCCTTGAGGAGGCACCTAGTGAATGGATGAGTAAATGAATGAATATATGAATTAGTGATCTAAGGCTGAGACAAATCACCTAGGCTTAGAAACCATTGTAGTCAAGTGTCTGCAGCTGGCATGGCACTCACTTGTGCAGAGAGTGAGAGATATGACACATACTATGGAAACTCCTTTTGGTTGGTTGAGAAGCTGGCTGCGTGAAGGCAGGAGAATAGGCAAGAAGACCCTTCTGCCTCTAAGAAGTAGGCTTCTTTTCTTTCTTCCTTTTTTCTTTTATTCTTAACTATTGAATTGAAATCTCTACCCCTATCATTTTATACCAAGCCCATGACATTGTCTGAATTACTGCAAAAGCCTCCTAACAGATCTACCTGCTTCCACTCTAGCTTCGCAATCCACTCCCCACAAAGCAGCCAGAGGGACCTTTCCACGGTGGAAATCCGATCTTGTCATTCTCCTGCTCTGCACCCACTAATGGCTGCTCACTGTAATTTTTTTTTTTTTTGGTGATATAGGAAATCAGCTTTATGAAGGGATGCTGGTGACCTGAGAAGGGAAGTTAGGTTAATCCATCTCTCCAATAAACCTGAAGGAGAATGGCCAGGCTAAAGCCATCTCAAAGACTCAGATTTACTGAGGGGATTTTTTTTTTTTTTTAAATAAAAGATGACTGGTAAGGGGATCTTAACCCTTGACTTGGTGTTGTCAGCACCACGCTCAGCCAGTGAGCGAACCGGCCATCCCTATATAGGGATCTGAACCCGTGGCCTTGGGGTTATCAGCACCACACTCTCCCGAGTGAGCCACGGGCTGGCCCTACTGAGGGGATTTTTAAAGAGAGGGGTGAGGGAATGGAATGTGAGAAATGAAAAGCAGGAAGGAAGGGGACGTGTAAGGGTCCAAGTGCAAATTCTTGCCAAGGCTCCTTCTGGCTTCTGTTTTTGTCCTTGATATTATCTTAGGGTTCTGCTTCGGGGAGGAATGAGCATAGCTTTAAAAAAAATTAATTAATTAATATTATTTTACATTCTAAGATGTTGTTGCAGAACAGTTTGGAGGTAGGGGGAGAGGGAGGGTATAAGGAGGGAAGGAAGGCGTGGTCAAGGAGGAAGGGAAGGCGTGGTCGAGGCCTGTGGCATCCTCCTCATTTCCAACAGGGGAGCCAAGGGGGCTTCTGGCAGAGGCTAGGTCATCACTGGGCTGGATGTGGACATCGGCAGGAGCATGGCTGAGGCTCTCGGGGGCTCCCCCAACCCTGACTTTGGAATTCAGGGGGCTTTTGGTCCTTCTAGGTTTTATAGGTGTTCTTTGGTGGTGTTAGACCTTTACTGGTTAATATCAGAACTTCGTCTCTGATCTGTGGGTTTTCAGTTTTTTCTTTCAGTTCTGTGTTGGATTATTTGCTATTCCCACCATTAAACTCTGCACTGGAACTAATTTTTTGTCCTTTGGTTAATTCTAAAATGTGGGAACTTCCTGTGGGAACCAGCACTTGAGCCCCATGTTTGAGATAAATTGCTGCTTTGCTGCCGATTCCCTGGGGAAGGCTTTTTGTGCAGCTCAGGTTTTAATTGTTGACCTTGTATATACTTCTGGGTCATGTGAGGTCCAGTACACCTGGGTTGTGTGGAAACTCTGGTCTGGGCCTGAGTCTTTTCAGCAAAATGCACCCCCTGCAGTTCTGTATTCCTGACCAATCTCCACTGAATGGTCCTGTGCTGATTGGAGGGCAGATCAACTGTCCATGCTGTGCCCCAGTGTTCTCCTGATGGGCCCGTGTCCCCCACCACCCACACTCCAAACACTTCTCTTGGGATGGGCCATACCCAGTCCCTTGTGCGGGACTCACCTGCCTTTGAGCGGCTCCTTTTGTCAGTTGTCTGTGGACCTATGTGGGTCCATGGGAACTATTAGTGGTCTTGCTGGCCTGGGGACCACCAAGGCCCTCTTCTCCTCTGCAGCCTCCAACAACTTCATCCGAAGGGTAGAGCTGCAGCTTTTGCCAGCTCTTGCTCCGTGTGTTTGGGGCTTGAAATGGTCAGAGCGGTCCTTTCTTTCTCTCATCATGGCTTCTCCGGCCTTCATGAACTCCATAGGTCCCTTCTCCTCTAATCTTGAGCTTTAGTGGCCCCAGCTTGGCAGTCATTCCTTTGTAATAGCTGTAAATTGGTTGATTGTGGGAGAGAGTGATGCTGCAGACCATCTATTCTGCCATCTTGATCAGAAGCCTTCATTGTAATTTGTATCAAAGCCAAAATCTTCACCCTGACCTTCAAAACCCTGCAACATTTGGCCCTTGCCTCTCTCTTCAACCTCTGCCTGCCTGGAATGTTCTGTACCCAGATCTTCACATTGCTAACTCCATCCTGTCATTCGGGTCTCTGCTTAAAGTTCAGCTTCTCAGAGAGATCCCCTCTGGCAATCTCCCTATTCCTCCTACCTGATCACTCTCAACATCATCCTGTTTTTTAAAGTTTCTCCTTCTTCGTTCTTAGTAATGCCTGAAATTTCCTTATTTCTTTGTTTACTTATTTATTGTTTCTCCCTTCCCACTAGGATTTTAGCTCATCTGTCTAGATCATTGCTATATCCTTAGCATCTAGCATAGTGCTCTATGGGGCATTGATGTTCTATAAATATTTGTTGAATGAATGAATTTATTCAGTGCTTTATCATTTAAAAATGTGCTTTCATGTATGTTAATTTCTCATGAAGCTTGTGAGGTCATGATTATTACTCTCTGTATTAGTCCGTTTTGTGTTTCTATAACAAAGTACATGGAACTGGGTGTTCTATAAAGGAAAACAATATTTATTGCTTACAGTTCTGAGGCTAGGAAGTCTGAAGTCCATCTGGTGGTGACAATAGTGACCCAGAGGTCTCACATTGCAAGATGGTGGAAGCAGAGAGAGAGCAAGACAGACTCTCCTCTTCTTTTAAAGCCCTCAGAACTATGCCCCTGGCCACCATTTTTATTCTATTCACTACTGCATGATCCTACAATCCAATCACCTCTTCAAGGGTCCACTTTTCAATTACCATAATAGGATTTCCCACCCTTTTAACAGTCACACTGGTGGGCCAAGTTTCTAATACATAAAGCTTGGGGGACACAATTCAAGCTTCAGGGAGTTTTAATTCACAAATTCAATAATTTGAATAATTCATAATTCAATCCACTACAATCCCCTAGTCTTATGGATGCAGAAAGTGAAGCTCAAGAGGTTATGGGTAACATCCAATGTCACATAACCAGTAAGTAGAGGAAGATGGTCCTGAACTTGGGCTCTCCAATTCTAAATACTGCTCTTTCCACCAATGCATCTTGCTTCTAGCCTGGTTGGTGCTATAACAAGGATGGTATGTGCTAAGCAATGCTGACCAGTTCTTTGACAATCTTTATTTCAGGCCTTGGAACAGTACTGTGAGCTGTGCAGACTATCTCCACTCCCCCCTGACTCGGGGGCACACTCCATTTGGTGACAGTGAAATAAACCAGAGTAATCAGCCAGTGGGATAGAAGAAAGTAGTATGGAGTAGGCAGTCAGGAGTCTGGGATTCTAGGCTCCACATTGCTCCTTAGTTCATTTTCCTTTTCTGCAGACCTCATTGTGTCCTTCTGTAAAATGGGTCAATTGAACTTGCTGACTTTAAAGATCCCTCCCAGTTCTAACAATGCCTTGACAATTTCTCTGTTTCCTTTCCAGTGCTTTCCTTTGTTGCAGTTGAGGAAGAATGCTGGTAAGTACATGAGGTGGGGCTCACAAATGGCATACAGTAAGTTGAGCTTCTAAGAAATCCTCGTGGTCCAGCTGATTAGGCCCCTGAGCAGTGGAGTCAATTGCTGAGATGCAAAAGCCGGAGACATCTCTCTGTCTCCCTCTACTGGAAATTCTCACATCCTCAGGCCTGCCTTTTGGCTTGGATGCAGAGCCTCTTTATTTCTCAGATGGAGATTGTGCTCTTGCCAGGAAGCCAGGGGAGGAGTTGCCTCCAAGGCTAGCAGCAAGTGGCAGCCACCCATAAGCTTCCCTTGTTCTCAAATGCCTTCTTTCCACTGAGAAGAGTATTAGGGGTGGGATGTCAGGAGAGGGAACAGGTAAGGGGAGGGTAAAGAAAGGAGACTTGGCATTCGGGGTTCACTGTTTGTGACATTCCCAACACTTGCTTTATCTAGAAGGCTCCCAAGAGGAAGTAGCCTTCAGAGTTAGTTAGACTGAGGGGAAATATGTAGCATTGAGGTGAAAAAAAAAAATCCCTTCTTTTGCTCTCTAACAAGTTTCTTTGAGCCTGATTCCCTATCTGCCTTCTACCTCTGGTGTTCTAGCTGGGTGTGGACAAGTGGCATTCTGGGAACAACTTCCTTCCATCGAGGAGGACACAGTTGTCTAAAGAGGGATGACTGCTTTAGGGAAGAAGAAAAAGGATACTGGCCAGGAGTTTGCTGCCAGAGCCTGGACTCCTGGCATAGGCTGGGCTTCGCTGAGGTCATCAAGGCCATCCTCCTGGCTCCAGCCTGACCTATGCCATCCCCACTAGCTCCTGTTTTTCATCAGGATTAGCTCATGACTTGAATGAGCATAACTTCTAGGTGACAGAGCTCGGGGCCGCTGAAACAGAAAGGCACCAATGAACAAGTGGCATACTAAGGGCCTATGAGACATCTTTGGGAGATGTTGGAAGAGACACCCAGAGCCCTTGCTCATGAGGACCTCCCAAAGCAGTTGGAGCTGGTTTGCACATAGTCTTACTGGGAGGCAGAGAGAGGATCTTGTGACCTCCCAAGGACTTTTCTACCTTAGGATCCTGAGTTCTCAGGTGGTGTCTGCTAAAAAAGAACTGACAGGGTATGGTGTTTATTTGCATTGCCATGACAGCAGATGAGAGGGAGCTTATTTTGAAGCAAGAACACTGCTTTGATCAGCATACAGCATACATCTGCTTGTTTACTCCCCCCATTTCCTCCCCCCATCACCATTACAGGGCTTCTTGCTGAGCACAGTTCCTGCTTTGCAACAGAGACTTCTGGGGGCACAAAGTCTGTGTGCTGCCCATACTGGAGGAAGGACAAACTTCTCCATTCCAGAGACACCAGCTGCAAAAGCTAAAAAGAAACCCCTGAGGCCCTGAAGTAGTGACTCCCAGACAAATGCATTCACAGCTGCCAAGATGCCTCATTAGGATGTCTGTGCCAAGCTGAGGTGCCAGTGCTGAACCCTGGGAGGATGGGCACCAAGTGACAGAGTGGTCTGTGGCTTCTAGAGGAGAGAGGAATATCTTTTAGGGGGTGGGGACAGGCAGAAGTGGTTGCTACATACAAAGCTGGGGTGAGAATGGTCTTCCTGCGTACGTAAAAGTTTGAAAATGTCCATTTAAGGGCAAGTGTGAACACACTATTTCAGATTCAAGGACAATCTGATTCAAGGACAATCCTACAGAAATTATGAGTTCATGTGGATGTGGCAATGGTAGCAGCAAGGCACTGGGAATCAGGGCACCTGGATTTTAGCCCAAATTTCACTGTAGATTCAGTGTGTGAGCCCAGGCAAGTAACTTCCTCTCTCTGGACTGGTGTCCACATCTATAAAATGGAGCTTATTGCATGGGATTCTTGTATGGATCATAAGAGAGAGTGCATTCGAAATGTCGAAGTGCTGAACAAATGTGATTAGTTCTGAGATTTAGCTCAGGGAGGGAGCAGAACTCTTGATTTGTTTTATTATTTATTTACTTGTGAAATAGGTAATGCTTTCACATGTTTCAAAATTCAAGAAGTACAAAAATACAGTGTCTCCTCTCATCCCTCTCCTTCAGCCACCCAGACCTCTTAGAGGTGACTAATCTTAGCAGCTTCTTGGGCCCTTGATGAGTTTAGAAGACCTGAAGAGAGTGAGCTGTGCTAGACAGGACTGCAGTGTGGGCTGTCACTACCTGATCTGGGTTAGGGAAGCTGAGGGGAGCGTACGGAAAGGGCAACAGAGCAGGAATTGTGGAGCAGGAAACGTGGGGCAGTAAGAGCAGTATTCATTTGGGACCCTGTCTTGACTACCACTCATGGTGGAAGGATTTAAGTAAGAGCCTTCCCCTCTCTGAAACTCCATTTTCCCATCTATACATTGAGCCTATTGTGTTCTCATATGCCATTCTTCCAAGTGCCACCAGAGCAGAACAGAAGTGGTAGAGGAGAGGCCCAGCCAGGGACATTTGAGAGGTGAAAGAGCCAAGACACTGACTCAAAGCTGACCGTTGCATATATAATTTGCATATATAATCTTCCTCCTGTTAGGATGAGTCAATCAAAGATTTTTCTGACACACCACTGCTTTGTCATAGTGGTCCCACTGACAGGAATCCTTGGAAGGTATTTCATAGGCTTCCATGGCACTGTCTACAGGAGACCATTAGGAATGTTCAACCGGCTTCCACATGTGGGGTGCTGCCCAGGCCCAGGAGGATGGCCTGAGAACTTTGAGTGCCTCGCTATCAAGGCCCCAAAATCCAGTAGCACTTCACTTATTTGTGAACCAACTTCACAATTTTTGCCATCACTTCATCCTGTGCCACTACTTACTATTTTTCTTTAAATCAACATGATTTTAAATAGTAACCTCACCCTAAGCTGTAATAGCTATGAAATTAGATTTTGGTGTACTAGTTCCATTTTTCCTAATATGCATTGTTAAATATATACCTGTCATGATTCAGATTGCCAATATACCACCCCAAATCATCCCATGCCAGCATATACTCAACACTGGAAGCTTGTGGTAATACAAATCAGGTCGGAAGGAGCTTCAGTCTTTAGGGGCTCCCTCCAGGACTACGTGCTCTCGGGCTCCCTGCATCACTCCATACTTCTTCCAAGTCCTCACTCACACCGTGTTGCTTGAGCACGAATTGCTGCAAAGATGGAAATAGGTTCTGCAGCCTAAAAGGAACTCCTTCCTCCGAACAAAACCCACAATTCAAAGCCAATGTGAGAACACTTGACTAGGGGAGCCAGAAGCTCTAAGTTCTGGCTTTGGCTCCTTCCCTTGCCAGCTGTGTGACCTTGGGCTTGTCTGTTCCCTTCTCTGGGTCTCAGTGTCCTCGGCTATAAAATGAATAGTTTGCTCTTAATGACCTCTAAGGTATCTTACTGCTCTGAAATTCAATGACTCCTTGACTTGCAGACCCCACACTTCTGCTGAACCCATTAACTCCCCTTTTCAGCAGCCCGCAGAGGGGTGGAGGCTGCTGACCTTCCCTCCCTCTACCCTTACATCAAATCCTCCCAGAGGCCCCTTGCTCCCAGTGCACAAAGCTCCTTTTGTTGCCCAGAGCCATTCAGGGCTTCTCTCCAGGCTCCTGCTGAAGTGGCTGAGGAGACCTGGGGGGTAATAGTTTGCCTGCAACAAGAGCCCCTGCTGTAGGGGCTGTGGGCTTGGCCTCAGCACCAGACTCCATCCGTCAGCTATCCCAGACCCATCCCTGCAGCTCGAGGGGGTAGGGAGACTGAGCTAAAATGTAGAAAATAGAAACAAATACATTTATTTAAGATGTTATTGGCTATCACCTCTAAGTCTCAGAAGATCAGTAGACTACAGTACAAAGCATATGAAAATCATCATCATAATAATAATTTAACCCATTTCCTCTCTTTGAAAAATGACCAAATCATTCTTGTAACTAATTCTTGACAGATTGGTCATTTAACATTTGTTATTTAACAGAGAATATTTGCAGGGCATAATTTCTCTAATATTTGACAGATATTTTACACTGCAACTCAGAATAGTATAGAGATCTACTTAGTTAGGGAGTATCTGGAATTGATTATCATTTGAGACAGGAAATTTTTTAACCATGATCTTCAGTGAATTCAACCAAGGGAAAAACACTGGGCTATGAGTTGAGAGGCCTAGGATCTAGTCTCATTTCTGCCATTAACTTCTTCTATGACCATGAGTTAGTCTTCTCCCCTCCCTTGGTCTCAGTTTCCTTGTCCACAAAATGAGAAGGTTGAACTACAAGGTCCCGAGGTCCTATGCACTTTGACTCTATGTTGTCCACCTCCCCCCACCCCCCAATCTCTGCACCACCCACACACTGGCTAGAAGCCAGACTGAAAGGCGGGGGGGAGCTGAGGGTAGGGTCAATAGAAAGGGCAATTTCTTTTTTTTTTTTTTTGATATTTTTTTTTTTTATAACAAAGCTGATTGTACATATCTCTGGGGTACAGAGTTGAATATCAATACGTGTGTGCAGTATGTGATGCTCACATCTGAATAATTATTATATAATTATTATATACTATTATATTATTATATACTATTATATATTATTATATAATAATAGTATATAATATATACTATCATTGCTATTCGTGGCCCTTTACCCAGTCCTCCCTCCCCCCTCCCTTCCCACTTCTAGTAACCTCATTTCTCCTTTTGAAAGTTCAATGTATTATTGTGAATGTTGTATCTTTCTTTCTTTCTTTTATTTATAGGTTTATATTTTAGCTCCCACTTATGAGTGAGAACATGTGGTATTTCTCTTTCTGTGCCTGCCATATTTCATTTAATATGATTTTCTCTAAGTTCATCCATGTTGTTGCAAATGGGAAAGGGCAATTTCAAGATGTTCTTTGCTATGGGGGAAGGTTTTCCAGGCCTGTGGAGGAGCGTAACAGCTTCCTTTGAGGCCAAAGGGACTGGGAAGCCCAGGTTCCCAGTTCTTGTTTTCAGGAGCGCAAAACAGAG